AGCATGTAACTTTACTATAAAAGTAATTTTCACTAACAAACCTTTATGACTTTCAACGTCTACTCTAAAATAGCATTTTAAGTTGACAAAAAAATGCAACAATTTGCAATACACTGGCATAACTATGCTATTACAATGAACTAATGTGGTCAGTTTTATACAGCACACAGCACAGTGCTAGGATTCCAATACACGAGGACATCCTGGAATGTGAAGGAAGACTACAGTCACCTGGCTGCTGGAGAACATCAGCTGCACCTATATGCATATACAGATGAAGCCAAAATAGCTTTTACAGCTGTTTGGAAACTGGAATATGAAACACAGGAGAACCCAGTATTTCCACTGATTTATCCAGTTAGAGTTTAGCATTCATTATGATGAAAAGCACATTCTGCCTTCAAAAAATGAGGTATTTGTACAATCTAACAACATTCTACCCTTGAGAAATTATATAGCAAGGAACAAAACCAAATTTCCAGGAAAGAGCCTCTGCTTAAGTTCTTTTACTTGAGAAATAAACAGGAGTGTTTCCTAATAAATTTAGCATCATTTTCAAGTTTACAGCACAAATACAAGCTGCAACAGTGTTGTTTTAAGAGAAGTCACCCAAGTAGCCTTTCAGCTCAAGGGTTTTTTTTCTAAATAAAACAGACTTCATATACACCACTTCCGAGGTACCTCTCCACATGTGCCTGAAACCAAGTACCTACACAACATACAAATAGTCAGAGAAGATGCCAATACCACATGCAAACCATTTTCAGATTCACTTTCAAAAATTTCAGCAAGCTCTACAGGACATTCTCTCCCATATTTCTCCCACAGATATAAGCTCTCTTTAGTAAGACAATTTTCAAGAAACAAACAAAAAAATCTAGCCAGAGTTGGATAAAGAAACTACAAAACTCCAGCAAACCATATCCTACCTCTGACCAAGTAAAAGCACAGGGAAATTAAAAGTCTCAAAGTCTCCTAAAAAAAAGTGTGGGTTTTAAACAGCATCAGATTAATTCATAAAAAGGTTTGTGTTCAATTTCAAACTTGTGCACTTAAATTTTCATCATTCTGCAGTAGGTCAATTTTTTCCCCCCTGCTTTACTTTTAGCTACAAAACAGGAGATAAACCTTCCCTTTCTTTTCCAAGGGCTTCATATCACCTAATTTAATGTCTGACTGAAGCATGAAGCATGAACTGACACAACACCTAGTCCTAAATCTGACATTACCCTATCATCTACAAATCCTCAATAACACTCAATGTCCTGCAAAACTACAGTATTCCAAATAAATACCACCAATCAAAAATCAGTCTTAATACTGGGTCTCCTTCAATTTTTGACATATTACATGCAGACATTTCTGTGGCTCATTCAATTTACACATAAAAGATAAAAAAACAACAGATGAAACCCTGAGAACAAAGCCTTCTCACCCCTGTTACTCTTCCTACAGAGAGTCATAACTGGAGCAGATCTCTATCATGGCAATTGGATTTCAAATTTACAAGGCATATCATTGTCCCAAGGTGGCCTACTCAATTCATCGCCTTTTATGAAAGTATTTTAATAGATAATGATGCACAAAGAATATGCCTAGTTCCTCAACAGGTATTTAACTGGCCCAGGAGAAAGAGAAGCCCGGACAAAATGAAAACGGCACCAAAGAGTCGCCTTCTGCCCTTCCCATCTGTAAATGCCAGCTTCATTCTCCGTACTTCAGGAGGAGGTGGGGCTGGGAAACACTTCTTTCTGAAGTTCCACCCTTTTTTACAGATGCACAGATTTCATTAATTGTTAACTGGCGACATACAACATTAACTTACTCTGGTATTCATAGCCTTCCATCCATGCTTGTCCCATGGTAAGCAACAGCCTAGGGCAATTGCTTACAAATATTTTCTGCACCATGACACAGTACCCCAAGACTTGCCTTTCAATCTCTTTGTCCCACTAACTAGCTCATTTCAAAACAGTAAAACTCCAGTCAATTTTTCTGTAAGCAGAGGGAAAAAAAGGGTGACTGACAGGCTGTTGGGTTGATAACCAACACTCCCTCTCAAGGGTCCAAAATGCAGAAGCCAGATCAATACTTACATGTTCTTCAGTTTAACAGACTCTGGTGAACTCAGAGTTTTACCATCAGTAGACTACAGGTTCTAGGCTTGTCACACAAGTAAACTGGAAAGATCTTCAAAAGAAAATCACTCCCCTTAAAGAGCTGACCTTACTCTTGTTCAAGTTAATAAGTCTTGACGGGTGCTCTGGAACAACCACTAGAGAGACTCTTGAGTGTAAGGTCTCCTTAACTGTGAAGAACTTTAAACAAGAGAATGCCTATATTAACAAGGCCCTCTGGGCCATACTGTCATGTATTTCAACATATAAATATTTGAAGCCATTTAACATCCAGCAGTATTCAGAGACTTCAGTGATAAAGAGCTTTGTGAAACTGACTGGCACTTCAACAATAAACTCCATTTAAGAGTCTGCCCAATCTGTCTAATTACTTACCTCTCTTGCAGGAATAGCATGCCATTAAGGTTTGCTGATTAAGATTTGAAGGCACTTTGAAGATTTATTGTACTATACAACCACTAATTATTATTGTTCATACCTCCATTTGGTTGGGAGAAAAATAGCTTCGTGCCAAACAATTTCTGTTCCACATGTAAAAATAAAAATGTTTGCTCTGCTGTGCTCTTTAAAAAGTAAACAGATAATAGACTGCATTTCAGTAAAATACAGCCCTTCTCTGCGATACTCACTTTATAAGAACTATACAGCTGAAAAAGATTACACCATAAAGGACAAAAAGCAAAGGAACACAACAAGTTTCTTCCCATTGGAACAAGCAAACATAACATTTGTGCCTTGGGAACTTCCCACTCACAGGAATACAATCTCCTCCCTTTCCTAGGCTTCTTCACTACTTCCCTTCAAGGCATCCAAAATGACAATGCTACACACAAGTTATCACAGGCTCGTGATGACCAGTGGCAGGGGCTATTTACCACTCATCCCCACAGCCTGTTTTTACTTTCAAGGGCCTGTGAAGCTGTGAATAGACTCCTGGATCGCATCCTCTCCATAGGCTCTCTTACTTATCCTGATGAAAATACATGCTGTGCACATTCCTTAACATTCAGCTCATCCTTCTCATAGATGCTTGTTTCATGCATGCTCTTCCATCCACTCAAGTGTCCTCGAGCCTGTGGTTCTCAAAGCCTCCAATTCCACTCAACAATAGTCTCAGAATAAAGAGATTTTTTTTTAAATTAAGCTGTTATAACAACACCCTGTGATACAGCCTGTCTCCTTTTACATCTGGTATATTCAAAAGTATTTACTTTTATTGTACCTTTAACTTGAAAAAACAACCAACCACACTCTGGAGAGAAAAAAAAATCATTACAAAAACTTTCATGTAAAGAAGGTTCAATTTTTTTATCATGCACAAGCAAAAGAAAAGTCCCGTTATGGACGAAATACATTTCATGTGTTTTTCCAGTCACGTGACAGGATTGTTAGGTTAAAAAGGAGTAATAAAATATCTTTAAAAGTTAGACTGCATATTTTTCTCTCTCTTGGTGTCATTGAATTCTTTCTTTAAATTGTTGCTTATATTTTAAAGCTGTTTACGGAAAGACACGCTTGTTGGCAAAAAGACACTCCAAGTGAAACACATATGCTCCATGTGAAAGCTGAATAGACAGGTACATTTGATAGCATTAGGAGTGGTAGCAAATTCTCTTGTAACTGCACTACCATAAGATTCTATAGCTAGATTTACTCTTTCCTCATCGGTATTTCTTGCACAAGAACCAAATTATTTGTTTTCCTATTTGTATCTCTATCCTGATTGATTCTAACTCTTGCAGAAACACCTTTAAAATATATTTCTGGTCATCCAAACGCAGACTTGCACAGGCAAGTCAGAGGCCTGATGCTTAATTTGAACACAGGAAGCAGTTCTGCTCTGGAAACATTATTTCGGGTATTAAAGGTCATCATTTCACTAACCTGAGCCCAAACGAATGACCTGGGAGTCATGACACCTCCAAAAATATGTATTCAATGACTGCCTTCTCACATGAGGTTAAGCCCCCAGGAAAATGGCTGTGTATTCTGACTCAATTTTGCCGTACAGTTTCATAAAACACGTTCTCTTTCTTGAAAAGGCTTCGTGAACTGATCTCGGTTACTGCCCCGGCTAGTTCCACATGCAAAGGCTTTCATATTCCTTTCTCCAAAACTTACACCTTAATAAGATGGCTAGACACAGATTACCTGCAACCAACTTTACAGTTTCTATGTCCTACATTTACTTCTGATCCTACCTACAAAACCAAACCGGTTCCCAAATGTTTCCACAGTAAACAGGAGGGGTACAGAACAGCTCCTGGCAGTTCCCTATGAAGTCACTGCCTTTGTTGTTTTAAACATGCAATTTAAAGAGAATGACACAATCTAGAATATGAGAGAGATTATCCTGCGGTCTGCGGAGGTGTCGATTGCTGGAAGACAAAAAGCCAGTGAAACCTACGCTATTTCTCATCGCCGGCGAACAGATTTATACTTCGTTTCTGCTCCTCCAAAAACGTTAATATAGAAGAAAGTTTTCCCCTCTGTTAAGAAGGCCGGGGGTGGGGGAAGCTGCTTTGTTTGGCTGGCGCAAGCAAAAAGCCTAGCCCTTCGCCGCCGGCAGAAGCGTGTCCCGCTGTTACCGAGAGCCCAGGCGGACCCTCGGGGACCCGGGCAGGCGATCCAGTGGGAGCACTAACACCACCCGCCGCTCCCTGCGGCCTTTCTCTCCTTCTCCCTCTCCCGCACCTTGCCGCCGGCACCCCCGACATGCTGCGAAAAGCGGGGCCAGGCGGTCAAACACCCACCGGCGGCCATCCCTCCCTCCGGGACAGACCCTTTCTCTGGAGGCCGCCGCCAGGCTCCCCCCTGACCTGGGAGCGGCTGCGCCGGGCCCTCCGGGAGCCGCGAACCTACCGCCGCTCCAGAGCCGCCGATCGCGCACGGAGGGAGGCGATGGAGAACCCAGGAGCCCGAGGAGCCCGAAGCTTCGACCTCCTCCGTAGCAAGGCTGTGCTCGGCGCCTGCCAGAGAGCGCGGGCAGGCAGGCAGGGAGCGCGGAGCAGCATCTCCTGTCCCGCCGGCCGCCAGCCCCGCCGCGGAGGGGGCGGGGGCGGTGGTGCTCCCCGCCCCGCGGCTCCCTCCCTCCCTCCCTCCCTCCCTCCTCCGTGCTTCCATCCCTTCTTCCTGCTGTGCACGGACGGCCCTCCGCCAGCAGCCGCCCCTCCGAGCGCTCCGGTACCCACCGCGGCCGCCCGGCCTCGCCGGCCCGGCCCTGCCGCTGCCCCCTCCGCTCCACGTCGCTCCGCCGGTCGCTGCCCCTCGGGGCCGCAAGCAGCGAGGGAAGGCGGGCACATACCGCCCCCGACCGCCACGCCCTCCTTTTTTCCCTCCCTCCTGCCCCTGAGGCGGAGGGGTAGATGCTGACACACGCCCGCTCCCGCCCGCTCCCGCCGCGCCCGGCCTGGCCCGGCCCCGCCCCGGCCCCTTCCCGCCCTCCTTCGAAAGTCACTCGCAAATTCACTCTCTCGGAGGTGAACGTCAGCCTTAGTGTCGGCAACCTGTTCTTGGCCCCAAAGGCGTTTGGTTAGGTTAGGTTAGGTTTGATTTGGTTTGGTTTGGTTTGGTTTGGTTTGGTTTGGTTTGGTTTCCTCGGGGATGATCTTACTTCTGGCTGCTCCCCATCCTTGCAAGTCTGGGTCCTCAAAATTAAACAAAAGCCGTAAAGGCAAAGCTTTCCAATGAGACCCATTGTTTGTAACCTGTGAGACGAACTGTGGTGAAGAAAAGGTCCACTTGATGATGTGAAAAGTTGATTTTTATTTTTTTATTTTTTTTTTTTTAATAAGGCTCCTTTTTCTCTTATGGATATGGAATCCACTGTGGGGACCCGCTGCTCACCTATGCAGTGGGGCTGGAGCCTCTCTGGTGGGTTCCTCTGGGGTTTCTGCAGTAGCTCCCTCCTGTGTGGAGACAAGACTGTGAAAGAAAATAGTCACACGATAGGAAAAGTACTTTTAAGTTGCAAAGAATACTGCCCCCACATGTGTGCCCCCGAATTCAGGCTATGTGAAAATGGACATTTTCAGAATTATATTCTGGAAGAGTAATTCCTACTTTAAATAAATAAATAAATTTTTGTGGAAACAGATGCTTTAGAAAAAATAAGAAATGTTTGGCTGTAACTGTTTCATAACTAAATACCTAACTAAAGTACTAAGGACTCGGCATGAAAGTGACTCTACCATAACTAATAGTGTCAGTGACTTTGTGTAAGTCATAACAAAAATAAAGATGATGTGTAGAACTAATTTACATTGTAAGAGGCTACAGTAACCTGAGATGTTGTTAGTTATGTAATTTAAATATAATTTTCTTGTAATACAAGTTCCCTAAGTTGATAAATATCTACTTGTATTTTAAGGTGAACTGGGTATATTGTATCAATGTTTCCAACAAGAGCTCATTTTGTTCTCTTTATGTTTATGCATTCCATGGCAAGGGCCCACCTCCTCTTTCTACATGTTAGTGTCTTACTGAAATAAGAGGGGTTTTTATAGATGTTAATGATCTGTAATAGATTTTATCCTAAAACTCTGCTTCCATGCTTCAGATCAATTTACAGTGGCTGTAAATTTACTTGTATTACTGTATGTTCTTGTCTTTTTTACTTTATTTGAAGATGGGGCACAGAATGAACTCTTTGTAGGAATATGATGTTTTTCAAAGATACATTATTAAGTAAACAGAATGACTGGGATTTACAGATGTGTTAAAACCCAACACACATAAGAGTCACCTCTCTTAAAAGACTGTAAATTTGATTATAATTTACTTTCCTCTAAAGAAGATTTAGTTCCTCATTCTTTATTCTACTAATGAGCATCTGTTTGGGACAGACTTTTCCTTGGCCTTGTAAATGTATGTGAATGCCTTAACAATTATCTCATTAGACTATTTGATTTTTTTTTTTTAATTAAACATCTTCAACAAGGAAACTTGGAGCTTAAGATCAATGAAAAATATAATTTCCATCTTCACCTACTGTGCATTTTACGTGGATGCAAATATATGGAAAACATTGTCATAACTTTGGAAATTTGTCTTACATCACTGACTAAAAGAAAGACATAGCACATTATGCACAAAGACTGAGCTGCTCAGAAAGAAAGAGCAAAGAGAAATAGCTACCACAAAGATGAAATTTCTGAGAAAGACCAAGACAATACAGCCACTATCTGGGTTACAATTAATTTTGGGCATTTTCCAGTTTTGGTGCACAAACAGGGACCTTATTTTCAAAAAGTATAGAACAAGTGACATCTGAAGTTTGGCAGCTTGATTCACAAATCTCTTTAGAAACTATTGGCCATTTTATGTTCTTCGGCTAAACGACAGTCAAGAGATAGGGAGAACACTGCCTACAAACATTTGATGAGGATCAATGCCAGTGGGAGGAAATTCTTTTGGCCCCCATCTGCAGTGAAATCCATCTGTAGGCTAATGCCAGTGAAGTTTGAAGTGAGCTTGTTGGCCCTGTATTGGTACAGGTGCAGAAAAAGAGACCTGAAATACATTTGAGAGTATAGGTACATAAATACCATGTAAAAAAAAAAAAAAGAAAAAAAAGAAAAAAAAAAAGGGAGTTTGCTAGGAAAGTATTTCTTTCATCAAGTCTTACAGGTCTTGAGGACAATCTTCAAGAAAATCTAATTTACAGAAGCTAATTAGCTTTAGATACTTAAAACCAGACTGGTTGAAACAGTAGTAAATATACAGTAGAGAACAATCTTGCCCAGACAGAATCTACTTGTTCAAACTGGTTCTTTCTACATTTAACTTTGGAGTCTATCTTAATGAAGATTTTGTTTGGGAATATTACAGTCAAGAGTTAAATCAGAGCAGCGGAAGAGAAACATTAAAATGTATAGGGAGAGTAGGAGAAAAGGACTTGTTTTTATTTGAGATTTAAAATGAGATGAAGGGTCACTGAGCCTGAGAAACACACAAAGGCTGTCCCAGACTGCAGCCTGTTTTGAAGAAAAGGCTCTCTTTCACATCAACAGAAGCTAGATTGTGTGGAGGGACAGACCAAAGTCTAGACAAGTTGCCAGGGGGCCAGAGGGGCACAGAGAAGAGATTTTTTTTTTTTTCCAAAATTGTAACCTTTCAATAATTTCATAATTTCTATACTTCTATAATTGATGACTCTCAGCTGACCAAAGTTTAAATGCCAAGCAGAGAGGCTTTTGAATATTCCTTTGTTTTAGCTCTCCAACGTGTAAAAGCATTGTGGTTATCTTCAATGAATTCATTCCTCTTGCTGCAACACAACTTAGCATCATCATGTGTGCAAGTGCTAGTACAACTTTTGCTGAACACAGGAAGAGCTTCTTAAACAGAACATTTTAAACAGAGAAGGTGCTGATTGTACAAATGACAGTTCATATATCTTGCCATGATCATCAGTACTCACATGTCAACAAGAAACTCTGCTTATTTATTGATAAATTCTATAATTTGAGACTCATCCTTTATTTTTGTTTTTAACATCATGCAATGAAAGTTGCACAATTACAGTTTCAGTAGGTGGATGTCTACAGGCAAACAATCTAATGTGTTGTTCCAGTGTTTACAGCTTGTGCACTATTTTATTACTTCCTGAGTTGTTCAAATTACTAAGGATACACACATAACTTTTCCTGCTTAATCAAATCTCACTTTGTTAAGGTTATAGAAATTACTGGAAACTAAGTTTTTCATATCCATCTTTAAGAACTGCATAGGTTTGCTATTTTTGGCTAGCAAATACATGCCAATTCAGATGCATGATCTTAAACCTAACTGATGGGGATGGGAACTGAATGTATTAATTGCAGCACTTTTCATTAAAAGGTAGCAAAACCAGTAAAAATTAACAAACCAAGTTAACATAACTTTTTTTTTTCAGAACTTTTTTGCCACTGATTGTTGGCATCTGTAAATTTTTTTTTCAGTTTCTGTCATGAAAGCATTCACTCACATTGATAGCATGTCACTGATAGCACTCACACTGGTTGTAGCAATAGTGTTATAAACTCTCTGGTCCTGAAAATTCTGCTCAGTATTTTTTTAAATGCCTTTTGTGTTCCCAATGCCATCATTCCACAGGCAATAGGTGGGTTGTTTCTTTGATGTTATAGTGACCATAATCTGGCTCTGTAGGTGACAAATATTGTGACCCCTACTTACTTATAAACCATTGTAATTTACACTTCTACTCATATTACTCTTATGTAAGAATAAAGATAATTTTAATATACTTTTTAAAGTGCTACAAAACTTGGCTTTTAGATTCTATGTCCTGGAATATCTTATGATAGTTTTTTACCTAGTCAAACCAAACTTATTTTGTCAAACTAAAGGGACTGAGTTTCACCCCAAAAGTTAACAAACTTTTCACACAGTTATGCCCACTGAAGTGCATTAATTTTATTGGAATATTTAGCTGTACATGCTTTTGCATTGTTAACTGGAAATTGTTTTTGAAGTGTAAAGGAGATGGAACAGTACGATGGGCAGTCTTCGTGTTGCTTTTGTACTATGTATTTCCACAACTTGAAATATAAACAGAATTTCTGACAGTCATTAGCCCCAAAGAGAAATTTCTTTAGTATCCCCTGGCCATAAATTACTTTTAAAACAAGCAGAGACAGAAAAAAGTTTGCAATAGAAACACGCGCTTGGAAAAGTTTCTCACTTCTTACAGATGGGTCATTGTTTAATCCTCACGAAGGAAACACTTTACAATTGGGGTGAAGTGTTAATGAATTGCTTAATTTTAAATTCTGGCTTTATAATCCTAATTATACATTTTTATGTATGGCTGGTAATATTTTGGCATCTGTAATTCCCTCCTCTTGGAGCTTTCAAAGCAGGTTGCTATATGGATTTGCTAAATCTCACAACACATGGAAAGGTAATGTTATTCATATTCCGAAGAAGGAAAAGCTGAGGCATGACTGTGATATATTCGAGGTGATGCAGGAAACTTCTTGCAAAGTGCTGGAAGTTTTGTCTTTCAATCC